CTAATAACAATCATGTATAACCGGAAAGCATAAAACTGGTTTTGGGGATACAAGACTCCGGTTCGCGGCAATGTTCCGAAAAGCATGCACATCCAAGGCACTGCTACGAATTTATGTTAACGATCAGGCCTAGTGTTTGTTTAAATGAAAGTAATTAGCCAATTTTAATATTTTAAATATAAATATTAAAATAATTAAAATTAAAATTAAATTAAAATGTGTCTAACGTGAACACATTGGGTGTGGTGTGAACCGCTTGCAGTTGCATCCTTCTTTATTTAATCCCAATATTTGTAACGATTGGCAGAGGATTATTTTGACCAAAAAATGTAGTTCGGAGTAAAACGTGAATCTCTAACAAATCTCCATAAAAAATCCATTGATAAATATCTACCATAGAAGCTCCTTTTTCTATGGTCAATTTGTTGAGGATGGTAGATGCACATGTATTGACAAGATTGGCGAATGTAGTTCTATTTACTTTGGCTACAAATCTAATAACATAAAAGTGGATTAATTTGGAGTGTTCCAACCTGTTCATATTCAAGTTTGCTACAATACCTTCTTACACAAACATGGTTGGTTGTAATTTGACATGTTTTTTATTATTAATGGAAACTGCAATGTATTGTATATAATTTATAGTGAACATGTTAACTCATTATGTACTCATTTTGAGATCTAAATCCTAACTAACCACTATTGAAAGAGTCGGCCAATTACTGGATTAAACACGACGTTGGATACAACCAGTGATCATCTGTTCGGGTCATGAACTACATTTGGATCAGTTTTCAGTCAACGTTTTGGGAACGATGTTTTATGGATTAAGTACTTGCTAGGAAACACAAAGTCTCATAAAAAATCATGTGGATACACTATAACCAAAATATGACCGTGGGTTAAATATTACAGTAATTTCCTAAATGGCGAGGCAGTGAAACGGTATGATTTTGAATAATCATAAATAATTCATTTAAAAGAAAATTTAAACGTAAACTTTAAGTAGGCCTACATGAGTGGAAATTAATGTTATTCCAAAAAATTGGTTTTTAATACAGTGTCGGGAATTGGTGTCCTTGGATTTACACACATTGTTGAAGATTGAGATGAAATCCGCCCATGACGTTTTATAGCATCTACAAAACGTCTACAATCGTTTTGTAGCACTTTGTCGTGCTAGTAGCTAGTAGTGGCCTCAAAAAAAGTTTATGGCTATTCGCCAAAAAGAAGGAAAACTTAGCTTTCCTTGATGGGACGATATGACAGCATGATTATGACCTTAGAGTTTAAACTAGTAATTTAATTAATAAAATGAATAATTGAACATCACACTAGTGTTTAATAATGCATTCAATTATATACAGATTGTTCATTTGAAAACTTTCCATAAGTGGTGTGTCCAAAGGTAAGGCTTTTAACTCTTGTTCGTTCTCATTTCCCCGTAAATTTGGACATACCGAGTCCATGAAACATTTTTCAATTTTGAAAAATTACCCAAAAGGGCCCAATTGGAGGGGTAGGGTTGCTTTTTGAGAAGTATTCAAATGTAAACATGGGTCGTGTGATACATCAATTTAAAGGTCTAATCGCCCCGATTATTTTAGTGCAAAAAAAGTTAATTATCTTTAACCGTATTTGGCGCTGTTCCGTTTAGTAGTTAGGGTAATACGGTACTTAACATCAAAGTCCTTTTTTAAACGTTTGGACCCACCCTGAAAATACGGCTGAAGAAAACTAACTGTTTTGCACAAAAATGATCGGGGTGATTCAGACCTTTAAATTGATGTATCACAGAAACCATCTTTACAATTGAAAATTTCTCAAAAGCACCCCCACCTCCGAAAGTGAGCTCTTTTGGGGCATTTTTCAAAATTAAGTTTTTTTTATTGGATTCGGCATGTCCAAATTAGGGGGAAATGAGGACGAACAAGTGCTAAAAGCCTTACCTTTGGACACAACAGATATGGAAGGTTTTCAAATGAACATCCTGTATATAGTAGCCCTAATCACAATAATTTCAATAATATATTTATTTATATATGTGTCTGTTAGCACGATATCTTGAGAAAAATTTATACGATTTTGATAATATTTGGTTTAAACGTGTAAACCTACTCGAACGAGTTCACGAACCAGCATAATCGGACAATGGGAAGGGACTTTATGGGGGTTATGGGATGAAAATGGGTTTTCCCAATTATTATCCTAAAAACATAAAATGTTGCTTTTTATTTCCTAACCATTTTATGGAGATTAAAAAAAACAAATAATTTAGTAATTGAAGCATTGGTGTATGCCTGACGGTTACGGTGAAAATTCCTAAACACTGTAAATTTAAAATTACCGTGTTATTCTTATGGAGAATAATTAAACTGTTGTAGGCCTACTGCAGTTTGCTTGTTTATAAACCCATTTTGATCAATTTGGAAAATGCATTTATTTTATATTATACTATAAACATTTAACTAGAACAACGCCTTAATACCTTCCCTGTGGCTGCAAACTTAAGTACTTGTTAAACTAATGTTATTTCAATCGAGAATAAATGCGACTTTTTAAGGAGATATTTAAGTGAAAATCCAATCAGGCAAATGGAAGTTTGCTTATTCTGCAGGTTTGCTGCGGCGGGAGTATATTTTATACCCTACAGCAAACGCCCGTTTTGCATCCATCCAATGCTCCATGGCTACTGGAATTTCCACTTGTCTAGACATAAGATCATATCATCCGATCTATCACCCCATCCCCATTCCCCTTTTAACACTCTGATTAAGTATTATCATTAGGAAGTATAGGATAATACGAAAAGACGTTAAAACTATTACATACACTAGCTGTAGCATAGCATATTTTTCCTTGAAGGAAACAAGAAGTGGAAACTGGAGCTTAAACGGTCATTCAATGAAATACGTTTTGTATAGAAAAACAAAATGTGTTTAAAACATTGGATTTTAAGTTATTTTATGCATTTTTAAAAATATCCATTGATAGTCAAATTGCATAACGTTAATTGAATCTCACGTTCCAACATTTAACTATCTATCACGCCAAGTCACCCCTACTCGTACACTAAGTTACAAGATTAAAGGTGACAGGTGACTTGACATAGTCACTACATAATGGCTATCCAATTTGGCTAAGTGTAAATTCCACAAATAATGGCGGAACTGATCAACATTTTTCTATTTCAAATATGTAAGGGTTTTGGGTAAATTGTAAAGTTTCTCAGTGAATCTCATTTGAGGGCACGGCGCAAGAGAGAGGCCGAAACAGGACCCTCATTAGTACCAACTCATTATTCCTGTTCTGAGGACCCCTAGCTGGATCCTTGGAGGTCCTAGTTTGATAAAATCATCAATAATTTACCTTGTGTAAGAATATCGGGAACAATTTACTCTAATTAACTCAAGAAATAACAAGATAGTGCACTGGTTAAGTTGCTCTTTAACATTATTTAGATCAACAGTTTGGAAGTTATTTACCTCATACATTACATTTTGGGTAAAACATTTTATGGATAAAAACTTTACAGTTAACTTACTCTCCATAAGGATAATGTAGGGAACAATATACTGCCTTGTGACAGTTCTTGGTAATCATTACGCCTAAAATAAAAAAAAGTAACACACTCGCATTTGATTGTTTTCTTAAGCTTATTTTTACCGTGAACATTTTTTTGTTGTTGTTGGGAAAACACTGAATTATGGAAACATTCTGTAGAGATCTATGGTGAACGTATGGTTGAGCCAGAGAGTCTCTCAATATCAATAAATATGAAGGTTATTATTGATGATCGTCAGGGGAAAAATCATAGCATATGTTTATAAACAAAACATTTGTTTATACCATGTGACTTAAAAGTCCCACCCCCTGTTAATTTATTTTATTAATAGAGATAAAATTATAATATTCAGCGAATGTTTATATGATCAAAAAGGAAGTGTTTTGTGTAGGCTATGTAAATTTTTACTCCCTCCCCTCCAAAAGGGTTTGGGGGTAAGTCCAAATTTTTTTATGTAAACCGCTATCGATTTATACTTGTAAAAATGCATTATAAAAGAATGGCGCAAACTAGAGGTATCTACGTCAATTTTATGAGACCTCTAGTTTGTGTCATTCTTTTTATTTTATCATGCCCTTAACAGTTATGTAAAACTCGATAGGTAAATTTTCTACCTACCCCCAAACTACCCATTTTAGGGGGAGGGGTGAAAATGTAAATATACCAAAAATATACTTTTTTATCATATATAAACATTCCCTGAATATTATAATTTTACCTCTATTAATAAATAAAGGGGTGGGACTTTTGAGACACACGGTATTTTATTATATGTTATTTGGTAACGACTACTAAAAATATGAAAAAAAAAATTTACTGATTTTGTTCATGTGTTAATTTGAATCAGAACTAAAAGAAACAATAAGCGGCTTTTAACTTACTGGCTAACGATCAAGTCAATATTTATCCAAAGCTAAGAGAATAGGCTATTAGAAACACGTTGTTTTACCATTGACTAAAAGTAGTAACTTGTTATGAAATGTGATTCATGTCGAAACTATTTTAGTACGCTCTATGTAATCAAATGTAAAAGGTAATTTAAAAAACTATGAACTAACTAGCAATTGTTAAATCAATATTTATCTAACTAGACTATCATAAAAACGCGTGATTAATTATTTACAATTAATTAATTAATCAATTAATTAATTATAACAGTGCAAAAGTAGATTCGTCATCCTATGGTAAAACCTGAACTCTGTTTTGGATGCATGTGTCGTGGAAACGTATGAGGGCGCCAATAGGCAAATTTTTGGGTCAGACTCTCAGTAGGTACAATTGAAACTTAAGCAGTTTTCAACCTCCATTTCAACTTCAAGACTGTTTTGAGCCTATAACATTTAACATAGAGAAAGTGTTATGTGTTTTTCAATAAGAAGGGACACTTAAAGAATGTTTTTCTGGTGGTTTAATTTCAACATTGTTCTAATTGCAGGGAGTCGAGGGATGTACGCACCTTATGCTGTGATTGTGTTCGTTCATGGGGGATCGTTCGAGTGGAGCTCAGGCAACGCCTACGATGGCCGAGCCCTTACCAGCTACGGCCATGTTATTTTTATTACTATAAACTACAGGCTCGGCCTCCTAGGTAAGTTTCTTCAAAACTCGTTCCATTAATAAACGCATTCAGTAGCAGAATGTTTCAACAAACAATACTACATGTATAGTGGTTTAAATTACCTCGTTCTGTCCAAAACGATCCTATGTAGTTCGTAGTGACTACAGCTGTTTCGTGCTGCAGGAGCACATCTTCAGGTCAGGAGAATGTCAAGATGACATTCATGATCGTTTTGGACAGAACAAGGTAATTTAAACTTTCATTTTAGAATTTAGCCTCCGGATTACGTTGAATATATTAAAATGGTGTAAATACCTGCTTCGTGGTAATCCTAATGTTGCTAGTGTCGCAACTAGTTTCGACTTTTTACAAAGTCATCTTCAGGCGAAGGCGTCAAGGATGTCAAATGGTGGTCACTTCATATGAAGGTCGTCATTACACATAAATGTAACATTTATGTGTAATGACGACCTTCATATGAAGTGACCACCATTTGACATCCTTGACGCCTTCGCCTGAAGATGACTTTGTAAAAAGTCGAAACTAGTTGCGACACTAGCAACATTAGGATTACCACGAAGCAGGTATTTACACCATTTTAGTAATTTAAACCACTATACGTTAATTCAGACGATCCAGAGGCCACACCATCATGAATACTACATGTGTAGCTGAGTGGATATAGCGCTCACCTATTGATCATAAGATCTCCAGTTCGAACCTAAGAAAAGTCAGTAGATTTGTAGAGGTTCAAAAAATTTCAGAAATCCAAATTCCCTCAACTCATTATTGACAATAACCATCATATGCTGGATATAAATTACGGTCTCGACAATCTACATTACTGTGGGAAAGGAAACTTATTAAATACCTTGGAGGAGTTTGAAATATATAAGGACATATATGAAAACATATATAACAATATAAAAACCAGGGACAGCACACAAATTTTGAATGAAAAACTCAATTATGAATCCTATTATATTTTCAAGACTACTCAGTCACTACAATAATCCAATATCAGCTGTTGATAACGCAGACGACAATCCAGAGTCCACGTCGCGTCGGTCCTTCATAACCTGGTTCAGTCTACTTCCAGTCCTGCCCGCGACAATGTACGCGCATAAGTTGATAGGCCTATCTGTTAACGTATTTAATCGTTTCGTGTTTTGTGTTTGTGTTACTGTGTGTAACAACTCTGATGACACCTCAAGAAGTGGATCCTTTTGTGTGCCTGACGATGGTGGAATTGAAGAACCACCGAAACATATGTATCAAGTTATTTTCAACACTACAAAACATGTCAAGAATTGAAAGGCCATAGACGTTGAAGACAGAGAGAGCAGAGCTTGTTCCCTCGTAAAAAAACATACAGGGTGAGTTTTAATTGTCCCCCCCCCAACTTTTTTCTACATTTTTTCAAATATCAATCCCAGACCACTTCCAAACATTGTTGGGTAGTAAGTACTTAATTTTGACAAGGGGGTCATTTCCGGCCGCCATCTTGGATCCGCCATATTGAATGCAAAATATTTTTTTCAAATGTAAAGGTGGGATTGTGACCCATTATTTCGAACTACATTTCTACCCTGATTACAATGCCGCAAATCGTTTTTAAAAATCTTGATTCATTCCAAAGTTATGAGGGTTTTTTAAAACTTTATTTTTAGCCCATTTTAACATTGTGCATTTACAAACTAAGACCATAATCTCAAAATAGTGCTAGTTAAAGATAAGTAAACACTACCAGTCATTGTCGACCTATTTTCACTTGGTTATGACAGATGTATTTTATTCGGCCGCCATCTTGGATCCGCTATTTTGAAATGTGATAAATTATTTTAAATATGAAGGGGGTGTTGTGACCCATCATTTCAGATTACTTTTTTAAGCTGAACTCAATTCCATGATCCGTTTTTCATTTTTATATTTTGATTTTGAAATATTGACATTTTTAACAAAAAATTTGCAATATATCATAAATAAAACTTCATAACAAAAAATGGATTGCGGCATTGAGTTTAGCTTAAAAAAGTAGTTCGAAATGATCGGTCACAACACACCCTTCATATTTGTTTATTTTCTCGAAAAAATTTGTTTGTGACGCTTTATGTAGATTGAGGAGGGTTATGTTTGGTTTTAAAGAAAGGTTGTATACGTTTTGTAAAGTATTGCTCAAAGTTTCATTTTGTAATTTATACAGTAAGCTACATGTAAAGAAGATTGGCTAAAAATGAAGAATTATGATAAAACATGTCATTAATGAAGCATCAATATGAAGCAATTGATGCTATTGCTACACTAAGGTATGTTGTCATATTCTTTTGGATCTATTAACATCAAAAGTAGGGGTTTGAAAGTAAAATTAGGTTAAAATTTTAAATCATAGAGTTGGTGTATTTTAAAATACACATCAGCACAACTTTTCTTCCCGTTGCAAAGCACGGGTAAAGCAGCTTGACAATTAAAATTAAATTGACAATTAAAACTCACCCTGTATATCCTGTATAAAGGTGTCTCGTATCAATTTGAAGAAGTAATTCTGAGCAGCAAAAATTTACAGACGGAGAGTGAACCTTTCAAATATTAATGCTGGCAAGATGTTACTGCTGATAAACCAAAGAACATAGGCAATCACAGGTAAAAATGTCTTCCAAGACGAGAACCGGAAAAGAATGTTCTATTGTGGTTGAGCATATGGTGATTAGTTTGTAGAGAGGGGCATCTCTTTACTTCTTTCAGGGAAGAATCTTATAGACTAGTTAAAAGAAGAGCAACAAATCCTCATGTACCACAAGTAAATTCCACCCTTGCAAGCAAGAGCCCTTACTTCAATAGTATAAAGATTTACAACAAATTGCCTCAGTACATCACGCAAGAGCCTTCTATCAACAAATTCAAGAACCTGCTAAAAACATTTTTAAGTCAAGCGGCCTACTACAGTGTTGATGAAATATATGTCTAGGCCATGTGTGTGTCACTGTTAGTTTAGAGGTTGTTATTTTTGTGACTGGGTATTGGCATAACCTACACCGAACATCTTTTCACGTTTTGATCCTCGTATGTAAGTATAAGTCACTATACCTAGTAACATAGACGTATTTTAGGGCTTGGCCTTACCTAGACCTAAGTTAAGCTACTGTACAAATTAAATTGGCCAACTTATCATTCCTAATGCCTTAACTTAAGTATAAATAGATAAATCTGAAACCTCAAAATAGGCAATCTGTTTTAGAGGAAGTATTTTTCTGCATACTAATTAGGCCTAGGCGTAAGCTACTAAGTTCGGCGGCTTGCTTAGTTCTTACTGAACCAGTAGTTTATTTAGCTTCAAAGGGCAACTTCCGGATGAAAATAGTGTTCAATATATAGGCTAGTAAGTAGGACTAACTTACTGGTTTACAAGGCAAATGGAATACCATACTGTGTTGTAATACCTTGTTAGGCTAATTTTGAAATATTACTAAGTTATGTGGGTTATATTTTACGTCAGTCACTAACTTAAGTTTATGTAAATTCACCATCAAGAATAAGTTAACTTAATTTAGGCTAGCCTAGGCCTAACATATTCTACCTCAACCAGGTTTCAATTTACCGGTTTTATAAAAGAAATAGCCTAGCCTATTTGAAATCCATTTTCCTTTTAAACTGAATTGGGGTACACTTCCGTATCTGTTGTCAAAAACAACTGAATGAACATAGGCTATAACGATCGATATTTTCATTCGGTTGTTTTTGACAACAGATACGAAAGTCTACCCCTGTATTGTCCTTAGTCTTTTGTATTTTAGTTGTTGTCTGCTTCCTTTACCAACCAATGATTAGGCCCAACTAATCTTGATACATATTTAGGCCAGAGAAAGGTATGCATGAATTTAACTAAAAGTAGTTTTCTCTCCATTGTTTCAGTTGATAACTCTGCAGCTTTGGTGGAAGTTATTATTTGGTAGCAGTGAATAATTTGCCTACGGTACCAATTCTCCCGAGTGACAAAGTGGCTGTCTAGCAGCCTGTAGGCTGGGAAGGAGGAATAAATTTTCTTTTGCAATCTGCATCTGAAGCCAGCTATCTTGCGTAAGTTTTTTTTAAATTTACAATCTGACATTAATAATAGGTAGACATAGGCTACATATATTTCAATTAGGTTTTCTCAAAGTTAAAATAAAGTTTCAATCTTAGGTGTTTTTATTTCAATTTTTCTGTTTGATTCGCCATGACTGTGTATGTCTTTTTTGCCATAACGGGTACAGTTCCGCAGAGAACCTGCGATATATTATCGGATGAATAACATTATATATCAATAATTATCCGATTCAATACATCGTTCCCTATGTTTTTTCACTATGTAAACATCAAATTGAGTTATGATTTGCAGATTTGGTGAATTGGTTTTGCAATATTAATATCAAATCAGATATAGGCTATATACCGTCCGATAATATATCGCAGGTTCTCTTAGGAACTGTAGATAAGTTAGGCTTTACCACCAAAACACAACCTAATTCATGATAGGTACCTATTGGGTAATAACGTAGCCTAAGGTTCATCACACAGTTAAGAGAGTTTCTCTTTTTTGTGACCCACTTATATAGGAAGTCTTTGATTTACACTATATAAATATTCCGGCAGTGCTAACTTTTGTAAAAGAAAACTAGGTATTAGTTGAATTTTTTTAAACGCACACATAGGCCTATACACACACCAAACTACATCCGACCGTTGCACTCATTTCAGTCAGTGCTCACCCCAATATTTGTCCGTTCAAGTGACTGAGGATTACTTTTACCACTACCTAGGTCAAAATTTTCAATTTTCAGATTTAGATTTAGCTTTAACAAGGCTACTCAAAAGAAGCAAATACCATCAAAATATAAAATAGATTTCACTAACAATTTAATATGTGTACCTAGTTGTAGGCTATCCTGGGTGTTGATCAGGAAAATTAAAATATATACAAATTCTAGTGCTAATACTAATCTCTTTTATACAGAGGCAGAACCGGTACGCAAGAACACTAGGATCGTGGTGTAATGGAAATATATGTTGTTGCTACTATAATCAAGAATTGGCTTCGCCCAGCAAAGTTTAGGATTGATGCAAGGTAAATTTATTGTGTTATTTATAATTTAGGTTAAAGAAAAGATTGCTTATCTAATTACCTAATATAGAACTTAAATTTTATTATAATTAACAGATTAGGCCGACATCTAACTACTGTGATGTTTTCTTTTCAAATTGTGAATTTTCAGTGACAGGCTATGCAAATGAGCAAAACTTAATCTGCGGTTTTATCCATCTCTTTTTTCTTTATTGTCAAGAACTCAATGCCTTATCGACAAATTTAATTATAAAGTACAGGTATAGTAAAAAAATAGGTCTTAAAAATGCCTAACGAAGGGGTCTCCAACCTACAGCCTGTGGGCTACATCCGGCCCTCGTGCAGTTTTATTCCAGCCAGCAGAAAGCCAGCATACGTTTTTGAAAATTATTATTTTTTATAGCAAACACCAATTATATTCTCCCACGATTGCGTAAACAGGTGTGGTCAGGTGGTCTCAGCTATATCGTGATCATCACCCGTGATCTCGCCAAGACTCACGAGCATATTATACTGCAGTCTCGACGGTGCCGTGATTGTCTTTTGCAGTCCCAGCAACACCCTTCATTGTTGACCGTGATTTCCTTGAGGTGTAAAAAGAGAACTTTGTCAATGAATGCAGGCTCAGCCATGGGATATTTATTTACCTCGCGGCTCATAATTAAGAGCAATTAACTGTCTCTTCCCCATTCAACAAAATTTGTGTACAATACCCTGTCTCCAAGTTGGCAGGTTAACGTATTTAAATAGGAACATAGTAAATGTCTCTCACTTGCTAATTTTTTCTCAATAGGCCTAGGGGAATATTAGTAGTAGTCAAGTAGCGGCAGATTAATTTAAATATATATATTTTTAATTGATCCTAATTGGCAGAACTACAAATTGAAATCTTAAACTAGCTGACATTTTAAGTGTCAAATTTTATAGCCTATTCTCACTAAAAAATCATTGAACTTTTTGTCAAAGATTTAGCTTAGAATGTGATTACTTCTTAATTGCACATCTTTCGTTAGAATTAGAGGCATTTATAATTTTATTTTATGAACAGAACTATATTTTAGATTATTAAAAAAGGAAACTATGTAGTTTATTTGTTTATGGATAGATTTTGATAAAATTTGGCAAACTTATTTACTTTATCCTATACTATTGACGTATGCTCAAAAAAACTTTTTACCTTATCCATGGCTGCAAACCTAACCTTGTTAAATCTAATCTTCATTCAATTTTTATCTTGTATATTTTTTTATATTATCAGCAAGTTAGGTTAGCTTATGACAGTTTAATTTTATAATAGAATGCTCTCATTTTGTCCGTAGTAAACCTTAATTCAATTTTTTCACAATCAGCAAGTTTGGTTAATTTGGTTAGGTTACGACATTTTAATTTTATAATAGAATGCTCTCATTTCGTCCGTATCACAAAAAGCCTTTACCTTGTGACAAACGACAACTACAATCGCATTGATAGTAGATGATGTTGTGATTCGATAGAGTAGCGAACAATTAACGTTAGTCGCTAAATCGGTGGCGTTTTTAGACAAAAAAGTGCTCACCGAGGAAAAAGGGTTGGAGACCCCTTGTCTAACATATTATATTTTATCTATAGCTGTCTTAGAAAATAACTCTGTTGAACCTCTTTTACAGGAACAATAGAAAACTGAAGAAGGCCATTTGGGAGATGAAGAAGACCAGAATTATTTTTTTTGTAAATTGTACATATCTTTTTTATATTTGTGTTTAAATAATTTTTAATTAAACTTATTTTATCATACAAACAAACTTTTTTCTTTAAAATGTTTTCCTTGAATGCAATTTTGTTTTAAACAAATATGTTTTGTGATACTTTTGTTAATGTTTTGTCAAATAAGAAATATATATATATATTTACTTTTTTGGGTCACCCAAGAACTTTAACAAACTACCTATAACTTCAGAATAATAAGTCAAATCAAGGTAAGAACAGTAAAGAAGTCTGAACTGATATTATTTTAATCGCCATGAAATTTGAAATGTGAAAAAAATGCAACCTGCTGCAATGAGACATTTATTTGATATTCAATTTAATATTTATTTAATGTCAAATTAAGTGAGGTTGAACCTAAATTGACCATTTATTTGATATCAAATGAATGTTCGCGAATATTAATTTAATATTCGAATGCCAAAAATGTTATATCAATATTTATCACCATCATATTTAAAATGTGAATGTAAATTCAATCATATTCTCTTTATTATATTTTACCAATAAATTTATGAATGTCAAATTTGATATTTATTTTATATTCAATTTGAATATTTATTTGATGTAAAATTGAGTGACGTTTGAACCTAAATTGAACGTTTATTTGATATCAAACGAATGTTCGTGAATATCAATTTGATATTCAAATGTCAAAAATTTGATAGCTATTTGATATCAAATAAATATTCAGTGCTATGTGGGAGGGCTGGGTCTCACTTCCCCTACCCCACGAGTACAAGCCTAGCTATTGCCTAGCAAGCATTGTACATGCTCAAAAATATCATGGATTGATTGATAAAACCTTCATAATTAAGGACCTAAAATATCAGGTCTAGGAGCATTGTTGTTAATTCAACCCAGCAACTGTATGAGCTTCGTTGATGGTTCAGTGAAGGGACTTCTTTGCTAGCTTGTATGCCTTCAACTTACAATATCTACCTATTTATTTAAGATGTTCTTGAACTAACTTGTTGTTGATAACTCTTATAATTATCCATTGTATTTTAAATATTATCTTACTATCTGTGGCATTTCCCCACAACTCAATACCATAGCCAATGTTACAAAGTATACCATTATCTGAGTTTTTCATCTATTATTTTGGAAAGCACTAAAGTAACGTGAAATGCTGCTTTAAGCTTTGATTACAATTAATTGATTTATATGATTTATATGTTACAGTTCAGACTAATTTTATTCCTAAAATGTTGCACAATTGAATTTGACTTAATATGCCTTCTGACGGATTATAGTCAATCTGTCTACTTTTTATGCTGTTAGAATGGAAGTTCACACAATATGTTTTATTTCTTTTTCTGTTATGTTTATGATTAATGGCCAGAAACCATTCAGTCAAGTAAGATCAAAATAGTTTTTCAATCCAACGTTTACATATTTTATAAAACTTTATACTCAAACTGTTTTTAAAATAAGGAAAATATCTATTTATTTATTTATTTATTGCCAACGGATTTCATCAATTTACAATAAGAATTACAATATAGTGAGATACTCATCATGACTAAATACTAAAACTAATTAAGTAACAATGCAAAACTGATGAACAATATAATAGGGATACATGCAAGCTCTAAGACAGTAAAAAAAAATCACTTATACCTAGGAGTAACAAGACAAATAATACAAGACATATGGTAATTGAATAAATAGTCAAAAGTTTAAGTCTAAGAAATATGTACATAACAGAGACAAGTGAGATTAACCTGAAATATAGCAATAAATATAAATGATATATAGCGTGATAAATAATACTGTGGTAACAAGACAATAAGAAAACAGTACATGTGATGGACGTATGATAGAGCTAGGAACTATGATAAATAAATAATACAGTGAAATGGGATACCTAATAATACATAGACATTTAATACTGATATAAGGTGTAATTTGCAAGAACTTTGCGCTTGAAGGATGCAATCGACTCATTAAAGAAGTCTAGATGAGATGCAGCATCACTTCCAATCCTCAGGAGACGTGTTGGTCCAGCATGGTAAGTGTAGTAGGTGGAGTGGTATTTTCTCCTGAAGATAGTTCTAGATCTGGTTCCTCTGGGCGTGACGAAATCAATGCTGCTAAGCAGCTCGGGACAGTCGAGAAAACCATTCACAATCTTGTGCAGGGCAACGAGGTCGAAGTGATGACGTCTTTGGTTGAGGGGAAGTAAACCGAAGTGTTTTTCCAAATCAACAACAGGAGTGGCTCGGTAAGTGTAACCGATTCATGAGCCCAGTAGCCGCAGGAATCGATCTTGGATGTGCTGTACTGGTCTATATGATTTTGCTGGTATGGGGTCCATATGATGCAAGCATACTCAAGTATGGGACAAACGAGTGACTTATACAGCACCACTGGTGTATTGGGGGAGTGGAAGTCCTTGGTTGATTGGAATAGGAATCCCAGTAGAGAGTGGGCACGAGATGTGATATAGTTTATGTGTTCCTGTGGGCTGAATGAGGGTGACAAGACAACCCCAAGGTCCTTCACACTCTGTACTCGCTTCAAGATTGTATTGTTCATTAGGTAGTCGTAAGTAACTGGACCAAGTCCTCGTTTAAAAGACATTATGACACACATAGAGACATTAAGTTCCATGGAGTTTGAAGCACACCATTTTTCTATATCACATAGTGACATTTGGAGATCCTGATGCCCTGAAGATGATGAAACCCTGTTGAACACCTTCATATCATCCACAAACATAAGGAAGTTGGATGAAATGGAACTGCTAACGTCATTTATGAAGATGTTGAAGAGAAGAGGGCCTAAATGAGAACCCTGAGGAACGCCTGAGACGACTGCAAACGGTTAAGACTTGTGGTGAAACGGTGATCTGACATGATTAAGGAAATATTTGAGGAAAAATACCATCAGGCAAATGGAAATTTTCTTTAATCTGCAAGTCTGCAGGTTTGCTGGGGCGGGTGTACTTCTCATTGTAAACCAGTTTGTTGATAACCAGTCCTTCTTCCTCAAAACCCTAAGACACTAACATTGATACACATAATTTTACCATTAAATTTTATAAAAAAATTTCTTAAGAAGATAAAAAAATGTGCTAAAATTAATATAAATCGTAGTATTATAGTATATGTAAGATGTACTACATAAATACCATTAAGATACTTACGTAGTAGTATGTAGTACGTAGTGGTACGTAGTAGATGTACCATTAAGATAATGGTACATTAAAATATTGTGTCCTTTAAATAATAAATTAGAAGCAATGCATAATATAGTTGACATTTTTATTGTTTACCCTTATAGCCAAGTAAAAGGGGAATCCCACAAATAACTTCTGGAAAATTACATACTATTATTCTTATATAAACTCGAAATATTTATACAGTTCCCTACCTACTGTATAGAGTGTATAGAGAATATGTGAAGCACATTTCATAAAACCCAACAACGTATTTCAATAACCTGTCGAACAGAAAAATTCATTTGTGTAACATCCATGTTGTAAATGTGAATTCATTCCACCCATGAATAAACAAATACGAAATTGAAAATTAAGAGTGTGGGGGATGGCATGGAATGAGAGGGGATGGTGGAATATTTTCTCAATGGGGGAGTTGATGGAATATATTTTTTTTTTGTTCACAAATAGCTTTTCTGAGTATTTGGTATTTGTATTGAAACTTGAGATTTTACTGGTAAATCGTTAGTTGTTACATCAGAATGTAAGCTCAGTATATTTTATAGTTGACGATTTTTATAGATTGGCGTAATTATAAGATAATTTCAATAAATAAACATTTGTTTATGTTCCTAGCTAGATGGTTTTTTAAAATATTAGAACGATTATTAAAACGTGACTGTATAGTTAAACAAAAAATAAATAATTTACAATAAATTCGGATCAAATCATACCATTAGCCTGAAATATGTTGTCAAGAATCCATCTTTTGATAAATATCAACACTGATGATTAATTTATGCGTTATAAGTGTATAATTTGTTGTAATGCCCATTGAAATTGCAGAGGTAAACAACTTTATAAATACAAATTTTAATTTTAATTAAGTATTATTAAAACTCAAACTTTTGTAACTTGATGTAGCTGCTCTAATACATAAAATTAACTACTCTTTTCCCTCCAAGATTAGTCTTGATGTAAAATTAGGTTGCTAGTTGCTAGGTATATTTGATAAATAAATGTTTGTTGGCTTTGGCCGAACATGGTTTAATGTTTCATTTTTAGTTAATTTAAAGATAAATAAACAGGATCTCTATGTTGTAGATTATAAAAATTGGTACAACGCTCGTATAATAATAACCCATTAGGAATTGTAAATTAAAGATTTTGAGTTGATTAATAATCTCAGATGTATTTAATTTTAAAAAGATAAAGTATCGATTTCCTGTTTTTACAATATTGTATACACAATTAAATGTTTATTTAACACTGTTTATTTCACATGAAGAAAGTCTGTTATTTTTATCACTGAGATTTTTATATGATCTCGTGGCCCCAAAATATTGGGAAAAGTGTTATTTGTTCTAAGGCATATTTTCCCAAAGAAAAGGGTCTCATGGTAGCCCACTTTATTTCATGACTAGGTGACTAAACATTAGGTACCTTAGGTACTTCCAGAAACTTTAAAATTTAATAATTATATCTTCAATATGTTAACTCTGTATTGCCTATACCAATGCACTTAGCTCTTCTCTAATTGAATTTTCTTACTCGTTGTGAAATTAGCTTTAATGTGATATGCTACAAGTAACGGTTTTTTGAAATAATAAAAATTCCCAAAAAAATAATTTTTGAAAATTTGCAAATGCCCATTGTTCAAAATGTTCAAATAGCAACATATGTCAAGTGGCAAATCATTTTACAGTTTTTTTTATATATTTTTAACAACTTTGTAATTTACCCTTACTTCCGTATCTCTTTTAGGTTTTGTGCAAATAACAAACCTATTTTTCCTATATCAAATGCATGTTATTTGGGTCACTCAACGCAATGGGGCCATTAGTGTTAAACCCAAAATAATTTTATTTCATCCTTGTACGTTAAACCGTTTTCCCGTAATCAATTTGAGACACCTTACAAGAGACACCCTGTATATTTTACAAAGTAATTGTTACATGATAATATGTCAAGATAAGATCAAAAGAAAACCAGCGCAGCTAAACATCCCAAGAGCTACATGGGTACGGATGCAAAATTTGCTATGCCAGAATTCAGATCTAAATTATCAGAAATATTATAGAGACGAACATTATATAGACAGACATTCCTATGTGGGAAACTACTTACATGGTTTGCTTGTCAAGCTTAGAACAGTGAATGAACATTAAATCTGCAAATTGAGAATCTCTCAGGTTCATCCCCAACCATAGAGTTTACATCTTACATAGTTGGAGAATCCTTGAAATGGACAATTTCTAATGTTTGACATATTTTTTAGAGCAACCATGAACAGGATGGGTGAACAGGGGGGGGGGAAGACACGTGTCTGGAGATAACAGACAAGCGGTCTTTAAATGAAGTCACAAATTAATTAAATACTGATAATTCATTAAGGTAAAGTTTTACAAAACTGTAATGTTATTAATCAAGAGAAAGAAGTGTTATAAAAATCTAACAAATTAAGCCAGCATCACAACATACATTTTTTTAAAGTACACTAATATCAAGGACACATTAAAATAAAAAATAAAAGCAAACAGAACATTTCATTCTTTATAAAATTTTGGTGTTTTTAAATATCAGAAATAATGTGTTGCAGGTTTCTTAAATGTTCAAGAAAACGACTCCGAGTGCTGCTTTGCAGTGTCAGACGTGGAGGCTGCGCTGCGTTGGGTCAGTCTAAACATTGGTGCATTTGGAGGTGACCCAAGCCGTGTCACCCTAGTAGGCCATGGCACTGGGGCTGCTATAGCAAACGTTCTCCTCCTCCGCACCTCTGCCAGAGGTTCGTCTTTCATCTTCCAAAATTTTTTGTCAAGAGTTTACCAATTACTATTTATCTTACTGTTTTCAAAGTACTGTTTCCATCTGCTTATGATCTATTTTTGTTTTCCTTCTAGGACTGTTTCACCGAGTTACGCTGTTGTCAGGTTCCATGTTGAGTCCATGGGCCATCGTAAGACAGCCTCGAGAAGTCCTTCAAAGGATTCAAGAGCAAACCAATTGCCTTAACAAAGATCAACTTCTGCAATGCCTCCAATTGTTACCATTGAAGACTCTGATGGAAACTACTGTTGAAAGTCCAAGGTATGGATTTTTTCAAATCCATTACCAAAGTGATAAAGAAAACAATTCACCATTTCTTTAAAGATTTTACTTTTTATGAAGAATTGTATTCCTATTCTACAGCTGCAACTTATTAAAATGGGAAAGGTTGGTTGTTTGTGACTCAATTAAGAAAAAGTGATCAATATATCGCTTATTTTTAAAAGAGCTTATTTTATTAAAGAACATAGAATAAACATAATTAAAGAATTCTAAATATACCTAAAAAACATTAGGTACATTAGGTACTTCCAGAAACTTGAAAATTAATAATCATATCTTCAGTATGTATAACCCAAGAATGTTATAAAAATTTGACTATGAATCCTTTTAGGGTTATGATATAGACCCTAATTCTAATGTAATTGGTAATTTGTGATTGTTTCTTACATTCAGACCTTTTTTGGATTAGATTTAATTTGTCTGACACCAACACACTGGAGTACGTATTTTAAGATCAAAATGACTTAAGGATGAGTGTTGAAGGATGATGATGGGTTTTTTAATGACCAAGATCAGCTGGTTATTTAGGCAGAACCATTAATTAAGATTCCAATGATCAAGGACAGCTGTTTCCAGTTTCAAACCATTAACCACTACCATTACTTTAACCATTACTTTAACTACTGGCTTTTCTTGTGATCGAACTAGTAGCCTTCTCATTACTTGGCGAGCACTACATCTACTCAGCTACCCCGCTTTTTTGATGTCTTATGATATTTCCCTGCTTCACAGGGTATTAAATTCAACATGTTAAGCTTCACCGAAGTATTTTATCTCTGATTCCTGTGCCAACAGAAAGAAATGTTTACTACATCGTTTCCATTTAAAAAGAAAAAAACTGTGTAACATTTTTTAAATATCTTCAAACTAGAGAATCATGTTTTTTTTACTGCAGGAGTGAGTGAGAAATTTGTTTTGTTCTGAAAGGGTTACCGGTATCCCTATTGTTGATGTACAGGGTTATTACAAATGATGTTCATGATTTCATACATACATAAAATGTAGTTTTATTTGTTATACAAAGAAATAAAATGGTTACAACTTTTGAAAAACTCAAAACGTTTTGACACAGATACACAGAACTGTAAATGCTCGATACGGGAACCCCTTTTGGTACAACATATGTCAATAATGTAGTCAAGCTCTTGCTAGACTTTGAAAAGTGTGTCTAGGTCTATTGTTTCGATAGCATTGGTAATCCGTTGCTGGATCTCAAGTAATCTATCTGATAATAGTGGTGTGTACGCCTTATCTTTGATGTATCCCCACAAGAAAAAAATCAGGGGGTGATGTCCGGAGATCTTGTAGGCCAGTTCAGGGGTGTGTCATTATTAGGACCACCGAGCTTGTACCATATTTTAGGCAGCACATTGTTAAGTTCAGCCAGCCCTACTAAAAGTAACATTCAAATGCAGCCATTTCTCTTAAATTTCAAGTGTCACTTGCCAATATAGTGGTTACTAGGAGGATAATTTTTAAACCTGGTTCTAAAGTGTCGTTGCACACTAATAACAGATTGGTTAATGTAATATTCCAACTGGCAAAAAGCTTTCCTGCCTTCAAATTCAGCCATTACACAACACTTACAACAATTGACTTGACAAACAGCTGATATGCACCCAAACCAATGTAAATGAAACCTTATGAGTTTTTCTTTCCAATGGTACCAACTAAAATAGTCTTGAAACAAATTAACCCAGTAATATTTATAATCAAAATCAGGAACATCATTTGTAATAACCCCGTATTATGAGCAGAGTTTGTGGTTTCCTGCTAGGTTCAACATCCTTGAAAACCTAAAGTCTTTGGAATATTTTCATGGCATGTACAGTATGTGAATCATGGGTCCTCTTGATCATGAGCATGAGTGACAAGGTTCTGATAAATGTTTTCATCACAGGTTCCTGCCCCGCTTCGGTCTGTGGTTCCCCCGAAGTCCGTCAGCAGAGATTGAGCGAGCTGGAGACACGTTCATTGACAGACAACTGCTTCTGGGCCTTGTATCCCTCGAGAGCTTCAGTGACTTCTCTGCCGGACACATCGAGAATGGCCTTGATGTCAGCGAAAAAGATCAACTTTTACGGTACTGTACAACAAAAAATTTGGACCTTATTCAAGAAAGTTATCTGGAAATTAGATTGAAAATTTTGGCAGAGAATCAAAGTACATTCAGGTATCTGATTCGTTTCATCTAATGTAACTGTATAAAAATTTTAAATACACTTCATACACATCTGGCTTGATAAATAATTACAACAATTCATTTATTTATAAATGCTATTACCTTTAAATAGTCTATTTCTCGCGAAATTGAGTATGATAACTAAAATAAAATTTAGAAAATTAAAATGATTGCCAGATTGTAACTGTAACGCCTGGATAAGATTTTCCAAGCATGCAGGATACTCAACTAGATTCAAAGGCCATTTCATAATATGTCTTCCCCAAGATAAATCATGGGACAATAAACAATAGGACAACCGTGCGCTTTCAGCTCTCTGGTATGTTGGGGCGGAAATATACTTGTGACGAGCAAGGAAGAATCCAAACGGAGCAGCACTCTGTGTTGGAACTTACATCGCACTGGGCACAAGGTCTTCCTCCACCGTGAGCATTGTAGTACATTAGGGCGAGGGGGGTGTGCCCTTGACCCCAGCACTAGAGCTAGACACCACTAATTAAGTGTACCATGGATTTTATCCTCTGTTTCTTTTCTGTTTCACACATACCTGAAGGCAACAAAAAACTTCTGACTTGATCTTTTTCAACATTTCAGGACGTTTGTGAACAACGTATACCCTCATCATACTAAAGAGATTTTCTCTGCTGTGCGGAATGAGTACACAGACTGGAGTGACGCTCAAGACTCTGCGCTGACTGCGCGGAACTCTGCTTTAGCAGCACTTAGTGACGGACATACAGTAGCTCCACTAGTCAAACTGGCCTACTTACACTCCCGCCGCGGCGCAAACACATATCTCTTCCACCTTAACTATCAGGCAGACCATCAGATCACTTCCTTGGTAATCTATCCCTATCACGTTTGTAGTCAGAGCTAAATCATGTTCGTGTATTATTAAATTTAAATTGGTATTTACCTTTAAGGAATATCTGAAATTAGTGCATTTTTCATCATACTTTATCTTTGAACATGTAAACACTGGGGGAGAGTAAAAATAGCGATAATGTTTCAACCTATACAGAATATCACTTCAAAACCAAATGTTAGTCAATTTTTTTCTTCACTATTAGATGCAACTAAACTATGCAATGTATAAAATGTATATACATTTTTTTTACCTAAAGATATAAAAAATTAATGTAATAGTAGGAAATTTTACTTTAAACTAAAGAAATTCCTAGAAGAAAACACAATTTACTCCTTTGAGGAATTTTACAATTTAAAATATTGTGAATAGACAATAAGTGATTCACTGACTCTATTCATTGTACTTGTACATTTATGAATAAAGGAGATTTGATTTGAACTATTGGATGTAGTTTTTGTAAAATAATTGTTAAGTTTTAAAAAATTTTCATTCTTATTTATACATTATACAAATTTAATTCTGTTTAACTTGGATAAATCATATATTTCAAAATTCAGAATTATCTAAGTTGAAATAATTTTGTAAAATAGTTGAAAAACTATGAAATCTCTAACAAAAATTCTGTTTAAATTTATTTGTATTTTCTTAACAAAGCAAATGTTACTTAACATCCATTGCAACAGAAACACATCACTGGACCCTTAGTTTTCTGGGTCACAAAGTTATCCAACTCCATAATACCAATTATTGAACAATAGGACTAAGTAATTGAAACCCAGCATCTCATCCCCCGTTAGTTAAGAGCTTATGTAACTCAAACGATGCCAACAACTTGTTTCCTTTGATTAATTAATCAATTCCTGAATTTATATTCAGCAAGGGGTGTGAAATCCAGGTTAATTACTAATCTACAAATTAATTAAATGCATTGTAAAGTTATAGAAATTGTCTTTTATTCATACTCACTTACTTTGATTCAATTTATATTTTCCATCCAAACCCAGATTGTTAGGGATAAAAATTATTCCTGGACATTAAAAATATATTCATATTCCAAGCATTCAAAGTGGTATAAATACATGGGTGAAAAATATATATAATCTGAGATTATGTAAAATAAAATAGAAATGGTTTTGTTGTGTTTTTGTGCATTATGTTGTATTTTACCATTATAAAAATACATTCCACTTAATTTTAGGTCTTAGCTATGTATTCTGGTCCGATCTTTCATAACTAAACTAAAATTAAGTTCTGGTAGTGAATTGACGGAATTGCAATAAAAGAAGTAGTGGTGGTGGCTGAACCAAAACTGCAATGAAAGAAGTAGTGGTAGTGAATTAACAGAAAAGATCCCATTATCCCTCACTTGTGCACATTATACTGAAGAGTTTGTATTCGCTCAGGGTTTAGGTAGTGTGCGGGGTGACGCCCTTTCCTTTGTCCTTGGGGAACCTCTTCTGGCTCACAAGGTGGACTCTCAACTGGCCACAGTTGCCCACACTGTCCTTCGCTTCTTCACAAACTTTGCAAAGACTGGGTATGTTTTATGGAATTTTTGTATTGTACTTGGTTTATTTTATAAACCAATTGCTAAAGAAAAAAAAAACTAAGATCTGATCTCAAAACATTACATTAAATGACATTATTTCAATCTCAAGGCTGAACCCTAGACATAACTATCAACTCAGACAAAAAAGTGTTTCTAACTACAACCTGACATTCAGTTATTCATTGATAAAATTGATAATACAGCAGTGTAAGGTTGAACTAAAAACAGGCCCGCAGTTAGCATGTGACCCGCTATGGGCCCAAGAGGTAATGCGCCCCTCCTCCCCATTTAATATGAATTATCAAATAAAAATCGGCATATTTTTACGATATGACACACACAGCTGCAACATAACAACCATAATGCTCGTTCATTACTTTTGTTCATTTCATAAGAGTAATCACATATTAAAGTAAAAATGTAAACTAGCTCTTTCAATGAAATCAAATAAGTTTATTTTATTTCCAAGGGTACGTTTTTAAAAGTAAAATGGGTAAAGTTTTAAAACAGTTTGAATTCAAACAAATTTTGTTTTATTAAAGATTTAAGTACAAACATTTACTCAACTCTTAACACTCAACACTTGACAGTATTAGTTTTTGCCAAAATCTTTTTGTGGCAAACTCGTTATGACATCATCAAAGTTAATTTTTAGTGTTACATCACTAAGTTTGGTACACATTATCATTAATTAATGAAAAAATGAATTATTTTAGAAACTTATTTTTGTAAAGTTATTTTTCTGTCCAAACGTTTTCTGCCGCCCTCTTTCTCAATTCACTGCCACTTATTGGAGGTTTGCTCACATTACAGAAACAGCTTGTGATCTTACAATGAAGATCATGGTGAGCTTAAATACAATCATAAGTAAAAATACAACAATAACTAATTAGGTACTCACTAGCCAGCTGATAAAATGTTTCTCATGCAATTGAAAAAAGGGAACTAACATAAGAGAGCAATGAAAATAAGAAGTAAAAAATTACAAAGTAAGATAAGGCAACGAATAAGTAGTAACATTCGAGCAGTCATGAATGGGAACCGAGAGTGTGGAGGATTTTATTGTTGCACAGTTTGAAATATTTTCTGTTGCTTGCGCCCACAACAAAACCCAAAACTTCTTGGATGGGCAGGAAAGATTAGCTGTTGTATAATCTAGGCATATTTTCCTTGAATTAAATGGTGGATTAATATTTCAAACAAAATGTATAGAATTGGCCCTGCTAAAAAATATACAAAAATTGTAAGTAATAAATTAAATTTGTTATGATTTGAAGCAGGTACAAGTGACTTTTAATTGTTCCACTATCATGGAAATAATATTATGACCTAAAGGGTAAAAAACTTGTTATGTTTATTTGTTTTTCTTTGTAATTAAAATATTAGTTTCAATACCCATGCCCAAAAAGAGAACAAAAATAACAGAAGATAACACTTAAGATTGGTGCTATTGCAGAATATCATGTGCTATGAGTTGTAATTCAGTTGACCTGTTCCTAGGTGCAATTTAATTTTTAATTGTTAACTGTTTAAGGGACCCCAACTCACCAGGGGCTGAGCCAGATTATGAAAATGATAAAGCTGGATCTAACATTTGGGACATGTACGAACCTGTGAAACAGCTGTATCAGTCAATAGGTAAAATCTGACGTTAATACTCTTTCATTCATTTGTAATCTTGAGCACAACCAGTGAAGGGGCAAGTAAAATTAGCTGTTGTATAAACTAGGCATATTTTCCTTGAATTAAATGATGGATTAATATTTCACTTTCGTTGGTTGTTTCTTTTTTGTTGGCAATTCCATGAGTATTGTCCATTTTCATTTATTTTTTATCAATATTGATGCAATATTGCTTTTAGCAAAATTTCATTAGTAAATTTGTTGATATGCAATATAGTAGGTACTGTAAAACTATTTAATAGATATCGTTCATGCTAAACTTATTTTCCCAATTAGAGTAAAACATATCAAAACTATAATTTAGTACTAAACACAATATGCATGTATAAACTAAGCTTTCCCACAAGGGTTGAACTGAAGGTTTAGCTGTTGGAAAGTTTTGATAGTTAATATGTACAATATGACATAGGTACTTCAGAGGTTCAAAATGACAGGCAAATTATGTTTTTATGCAAATTGGTTATTTAAATGGTTAATTGGTTATTGCTTGTTTAAATGGTTATAATCCTAATTTAAATAGGTACTCTAGAATAGCCCATTCAGACAATGATAAAAAAATACCAATCCTTTTTTTGTAATTTTTGCTATAATTCTTTTAGATGAATTCAAGGGTTGTCTGTGTACCTATTAAGATCTCCAAAGAGATGAAGTAGCCTAGGTTAAATCTGACACCAAAAATGTGTCCTTTATTTCCTCTACAACAGTTAGATAGTTTGTACCCTCTTCACAAGGCTTCGATGACCCTTATTAAAATCCATTTGTATTTAACAAATTTGTTCAAATATGTTGGCATTTGGCTTATCAATAACTGAACATGTGGCTTTGATGGCATATACAACTTGTAAACCGAGTTAGAACAATGAAAATGATAAATTTGATGAAAATGAATGACAAAGTTATCTGGGAAAGTGACATGAAAAAGGCTAACAGTGCAATAACAATCACAATATGTTGTTTTTGTTGTTTCAGGAGAAGTGACAGAGGTAAACAGTCACTACCGAGGACACAAGATGGCTCTTTGGTTGAATCTCATCATACAGCTGCTGTCTTCAGATGAAGACCCTCTACGGTACACAGAGTTTGACCAGGATGAAGACAGTCTGTATGCAGGTAGAAATCATCTTGATTCAGACTGTATAGCCAAACAAGGGTGTGTTGTTGTTAGCCTCGTGGGTAGCGTCTTGAACTTGCGTCTTTGGTATGGTCCACTATTACTTGAATTGTTTCATGTTCTTCGTTAGAAAGTTCCACTGGATTTGAAGCCAACCAAAAAGCATAACAATTCAGGCCCGTTTTTGACCCTGTCAGCGCCCTAGGCACAACTATATAGTAGCGCCCCTTTGCTATATATATATATATATACAGGGTGTCCACCGACCAGGAAAACTGGGAATCCGTGAATTATGCTTGAGTTTTTTTGAACCAGGAAATATGAGTGAATTTTGTATATGCACCTGGAATTTTCAATTTACCGCCATTGCAAATAACAATAGTTACGTTTCCGTGACCGCGTGAGACGACAATATGTCTACACACGGCAACGAGGGATTATCAGAATTTTCCGCGATCGAAGAAGACGATGGTGATTGAATTGATTTGAATTAAATATCTACAGAGCCACGAGGGATGATCAGAATATTGTCGCGATAACGGAAGGCGATGATGATGTCCACACGAACGCAGGAAACAGCAAAAATTTTGCCCCGATTGCAGAAGACGATGATGATCGCCACAAGATGGCAGGAAATGATTACCATTTTGCTGCAATCGTGGGAGGCAATTGCTATGTACAAACAACCGCGGGGGACGATCAATGATGTCTTCACGGCCGCGAGGGATGTTTAGAATTTAATGGCGATAGCGCAAGACGCGATGATAATGTCCATACAATCGCGGGAAAATTCAGAATTTAGCCTCATTTGCGGAACACGATGATGATCTCCACAAGATGGCATGAAATGATTACCATTTTGCCTCAATCGTGGGAGGCAATTGCTATAAACAAACGACCGCGGGGTACAATTAATGATGTCTTCACGGCTGCGTAGGGTGATCAGAATTTTGCCTCATTCGCGGTACACGATAATTATCTCCTCACGACCGCGGGAAATGTTCATATATTGCCGCGATCATGGAAGGCAATAATTATGTATACACGACCGTGAAAAATAGTCAGAATTTTGCCTCAATTGCGGGAGTCGGTTACGATTTCTACACGGCCGGGAGGGATTTTTGGAAGTTTACTGCGATCATGCAAATACAACTACCAAATTTTTTTATTTCCCAATTTTTTGGCGCCCCCCAAAAAAGCCAATTGCCTCGCGCCCTAGGCACGTGCCTACCGTGCCTATTCGGTAAATCGGCCCTGTAACAATTACAACAAAGAATAATTTACATTATTATCTGTTTATAGCAGATTCCACAGTTAGAAAATCTATTTTATGTTATACCCTCTCGAAATCTACTCTCCATTTGCACTCTCTATGAAATATTTCGTAACATGACACAATCTATATTACTGCCCTCAATGCTTTTATCAACTTTTATCTAGATATGTATGATTTTCTATCACTGAAATATTTACTAAAACTACAGTACTTTGTCAATTATTGTCAAATGCTAAGTAAATTGTTCTTCATTTTAATTATATTTTACAAACTTGGAATTTTCACCCTGCAGTTAATACAAATCAATTTTTCTTACAACTGTCAATTATTTTTCAGGAGTAGTAAGACCAAAGATTTCAAATCGGCCATCAACTGTGGTGCCATCTGTGAGAGCAATCGCACCAGAAGGACAAGATTGTGTTTGGAATGCTTCAGGAGGAACGATAGAGAGGCCTCTAGGGATGCCAACTCCACTGTCACTACCAGGGGCATTGAGTCTTGGGCACTGGGGCATCACCCTAGCCGTTGGCTCTATCCTCTTGATTTGCAACCTCCTCTTGTTTGCAACAGTTTGTCGTCGCCACCGTATCACTTACGAATTACGAGTCCAAAGTCTCGGACAAGATCGGCTGGTGGTGAAGAGTCAAAGTGCTCCAGAACTTGCAAATGCCTCCTTTCATTCCGAATCATCACCACGAGTTCTCAAACGAGGTGTACCCCTCCATAAGTCTCCAGTGTGAAATAAAATATTTCCATATAAGGGCTGATAATGAGTTTTTGTAGGGTCGAAATTATTGTTTTAAGTTCATGCCAAGAGCATGTAAAACACTTTTCCTAGAGGTGCAAACACAATTTTTCACCACCGGTTGAAGAGAAAATGCAGCATTCAGAGAGAAATAACAGTTTTGAAATTATAGACAAATTAAGAAAAACTTTATTTTTATTTTAAAGGTGAACTCAAGGATTATATTTTCATCCAGTCATATCAATTCAGGCTCTTGTCTTGCCCCACATCACAAGCAGTGTTTAATAGTAACAGGAGATATTTTTATATTCTGTTACCCAAAATAAAATAAAAAATATGACCTTCTTTCTTGTACTGTACCCATTATTTTCAGATTCCTAGAATACCAGGGACAGGAAATTAAAACACATTGTATATCTGACAATGTTTAGTGGAAATGCATTAATTAAAAACTTATACTTATTTCCAACAGTTTTATCTCAAATTAATATGAAACCGTTGCCAAGTTTTGACGTATTGATATCAGTTTTGATACAAGTTTTAAGCTTTTTTATTAACAATTTTTTACTTATTTTTATGCTCAATGGGAATGCAGCTTTTTACTACCCAAAACTGCAGTAGGTGGTCATAATAATGGCTTTTGAATACATGGAACAGAGGTTTCAAAATGTAAACATAGTAAGGGTGGGTTTGTGGCACAATTTGCTTTTAGTATAAGTTCATAGCCTGTTTTGATATATAATTTGACTCTCAAACTTTCTTTTTGAAAATAATGCTGGAGTGTTTCAATGAGTTAGCAGAAGATAGATGAGCATGGTCAAATGCTAAAATAAAACTCAAAACTTATTTTTAATAGTTTTTTCTTGGCTAGTTTTTTATTAGAGTTGATTATATAAATTATGGCCAAAATAGCATTTTACCACATCATGTACTTCAATACAAATTTAAGTTATTTTCTCATCTAATATATTTTGTTCAGTAATTTATGATGGAAATCACCAATGGATTAAATATAAATCAAGTTGGTTGCTACATCTAACCCTTCAATTGCCATCTCGATCATAGTTAATCTTCTGGGAAATATGACTAATTTATACACACATATGGTATGTTATATTTCTTGTAAAAGATAAAACTAGCTAAACATACCTAAATTTTCTTGAATGTTATAGACTTAGAGTTAAAAATATGGCCAGATATCAAAAGATGAGTTAAATTTGTTTGGATAAAGTTACAAAACACTTTTTGTATTTACAAATGTTTACTAAATTTAAACCTTTTTTGTCTTTGGAATATCAGAATTTGTATTGTTGCCAACCAGATCACTAAACATGCAGAAACAGCTTAAGCCAGGCTCACACTCGTCTTTAAACCCTTAACAGTTACAGTAATCTAGCCAATGCAGCAGATTAGTATCAGCTATTGTATTACCCTTCCCCACTTCCATTGTTTTGAGATTCAGCGACATTGTACAAACCAATTCTCCCTTCATAAAGCCTAAAGAAGCCCTTTGTCAATGAACACCTGCACTTCCTCCAAATCTTTGTAATTAATAAGTTGTGCAAATCCCTTATAAAGTACCTACTGTGTTAATTTATCATTGGCGTGTAAAATCTTTCTTGTAGTATACACCATATACAGATTGTGTAGTGGAATTAATTTTGTTCAGATTTTGGTACAGATCTACAAAGGTGCATCACTAAGGTATTTAACACAGCCAACCCACTTGTGCATATATTGGGGCATGTAAGAAAAGGTAGTAAATGTGAACTGGAATTTGTAGGATACCCACATAGATATGGGTATCCTGCAAACCCAATAAGATATTTCAATGTCCAGAAACCCCATTTGGATCATGGCATATCCAGCAAACCCACTCAGTTACAATATCCAACAACCACACTCGGATATTGCAATATCCAGCAACCACACTTAGATCCTAGAATAGTCAACAACCCACTCCGATATTACAATATCCAACAACCAAACTCGGATCCTGGGATATTCAAGAACCCACTCAGATACTATTATGTCCAGCAAACCCACTTAGATATAGGAATGTCCAGCAAAACCTCTAAGATACTGGAATGTCCAGCAAACCCACTCAGACACTGGAATATTCATAGATAACCCACTCAGATATACTGAAATATCCAGAAAAAAACCACTGTTTATCCATAAGGTTCTCAAACGTTAATGGAAATTCAACAAGGTATTATAGCCACACCACCAAAGTTCGGTTATTTGTATTTTTAATACTTTGTAAGTATCCGTCTAGTTTTTTGTAATAAAATTCAAATATATGTACATTTTCCTGGTCCAAAACCTGCCTTAGCTCTTAAAGAGTTGAGAAAGTAATTTAAATAGCAAGTAACTTAAGCTGAAAAACCAGTTTATAGTAAAAGTGTCTAAGCCTAAGAAAAGGTTCTCTCCTTTATATTCCCAATCAATCAAGGAAATAACAAAACCTACGATGTGTAATATCATTGACTATACACCTCTACAGAGTATGTATAGTCAAACATATACACTATACATATACACCATACACATTCTTATGGTGTAGAGGTGTATAGTCAATGGTAATATATATTCAACATAGGTCTAACGGCTATGTGGTACTGTTAAGTTCTGATAGTATATTTTAATATTTTTAATTCAATAAAAATTATTTTTAAAACAGTTTACCTAAGAAAACAGGATTGATTCTTAGATTAGGTTTACTGCTTCATAGAAGTTGCTTATAACCCTAAATATTGGCTACCTACCTAAGAAAATTTGAAAACAACACTACTTTTTCACGATTGTATGGTAAAAAATCAAGTAAATCACAAAACATATAGCACTCTCATCAATAATATTTTTTTAATTTTTTAATAATCTAGGATTTGGTTATATAATTTTACTGATAGGGATGGATTGACTTGGATACCATGAACAATGAACCGTGGAAAAATGAATAAATGTTGGGATCTATATGATGAAGTATTGATTTGATATATTTATAAAACATCACATCATTCCATGGTGTATATTTGTACACCACTCTTTCCAAAGTAGAGGTTACAATAGTTAAGTGTAAACATAGACCATAAATATTGGGACAACACAGATTCCTTGTTACAGGTTTTTTAAGTTGGTTGGTTCTTTTGGACAGCAAATGTTGTATGGAAGAACCTTCCTTGTTTTCTTTTCAAATCCTATTTTACTAGCCAATCAGAACGTTGTTAAGATATTTTTTTATCTAAATAATTTCTTTTTCATCACTCTGTAACGAAAGTAACTATTTTCGATAACAGCTGACATCAATGAAAGTAGTCTTTTCCCAAGCTCTAATTGACTAGCTGATTTTCCCTTGCTCTCGGTTAGTTCTCCATTTACTCACTATGCGCGCTAGTGTTTTGTTACGGTTTAATTTAATGATTTGAATAAGCTTTATGTATTAATAAAACTTGTTTGATTCTTTTATTTTGATGTAAAAAAAAAATTGAGAAATATACCTAGGTTCCTTTTAGAAGATTTTATTTTATATTGATGTTCAAACAAATTAATTTAGAGATAAAATAGTTGTAATATTACTGAGGTCTGTTATTCTGTGTTTGTGTATTTTTGCGTGGTGATGAAAAGTATCCTTCATAACTCGTACCGAAAGTTATTTTCCGGCACTTGCTCCATTATTCCTGTCCTCGGCTTCGCCTCGTACATGAAATTGGGGTTTCTTGTGTTAGGCGTTAAAAACTTGAACGTGCGCCGGAAAATGCCACTTTTGGTCCTAGTAATGAAATATACTATTCCTGTCAACAATACCTGTTTTACAATAGGTGGCAAAGTTCTATATTGGTGGTCAGAAGTATTTTCAGAATCGCTTAAGTGAGTCTCCTATTAGCTGAAAAATGTGAGAGTGTGAGTAGAAACCAGGCTCTCCTATAGAATATGAACATAGTATACTCATAACAAAGTTCACTGACTTTAAACAAACGTAATGTGATTTTATACATTCTTGTAAGAAATAAAATATGGAGTTTTGTACATATTATGAAGTGAACATTTTATGTAAAAGATCTGTTTATAAGTGAAATAAACTTATATTTCTCGTTATGCATAATCTCATACATGTAAAAGATTTTCCTGGATCCATTCCCAAATATTTTAAATTCTGAATGTATAATAATAAACTAATTAAATTATAAGAAGCACAAGTTGAATCAAATTCAGTGCTACCTTTGTAACTGCCATACTAGTACTAGTAGACTAGTAAAATTGTTGGCTAACCTAGAAGTAATTGTAATATCATTTCTATCAATGGATTCTTATGTAAAAATGGCTGAAAAAAACGATGGTGAAAAGTCTACCACTCTACGGAGGTGCGTTGGCCTTGTATGAAAGGTTTTTCAAAATGGCTACCGTAAATATTTATGTTTTTAGCCAATAAGTCCTAAACTATTACAGGTAGCTTAAATAAGTAAATGAGTAAATTTTAAAGAATCAAATTGCGCAACTTTTGGTATATAATAAGTTACAAGTCCTTACATACTTAAAGAAAATAATGTAGTCAGTAAATTTTAATAGTTTATTGTTATTCAGAGAAATGTTGAGTTATGGATTTTAAGTTGGCAACAATGATTGTTTTGTACCAGCTTAGAGTTCTTATTGTTGTTGTTAATATTTCTACATGTTTCTAGTTTACTTTCATGTTCAGTAGTGATGTTTTTAATTTAATTTTAGTGAAATTAGTGTTGCGATGGGGATGTTAATCCCCCTTAGTATGACAACTGAAAATAGAAAAATGAATATCGAAACAGGTTTTATTTGTGAACAAATTATACACGACAGTTGTGAGGTGTTATCTCTCACTCAAAAAGAAATTGAAGCAATACACTGAAAATTACTGAATTCCATGTAATTTTTGGTAAAAAATTAATAAAAAATGTAGAGCGCAGTTTATTGACTTAAAGTCTTCATTCAGAAAGCGGGAGGATGAAACCAGTTGTTCTCGTTTGACACGTTTTAGTGAAACCTATTTTGATTTCAAAAGTAATTGTTTGTTGTGCACAGCTGAATTAAGCCTAACATATAAACAGAGGAATAAAACGAACGGTTTAAAGCTCGGACGCTAAACTTAAGAACATCAGTGCTAGAAAAGTGCAACGAATGTAAAGATGAATGGGCTGTCAAAGTCAAAATACGGCTTCTAAATGTGTATGATTTGCCTGCTATGAAAGCATGTTATCACAAACAATGTTTAGTAAAATTTCGAAATGGAAAATCTATACCACACCAATTAGTGACATAAGCTCTGCCAGGTCGCCCATTCTGCTGCTGCACATAGAGGTACAAGTATGCCTGATCACAATCCACATCTCCTGAGTGTTTTATTCAATATTCTGCTGACAACATTAGCCACAATATAATTAGACTTGATGGTAATGGAACTTTCCATTGCATGGGTATTATAGCTAGCGTAGTTCCAGCAGGGGCATTTTCTGAGGTTATCAAGAAACGTAATGTTTCTTATGAAGAGAGCTTAAGGACGTGGAAGATTTCCATTAGGCTACAGTGTATCCTTCTCAGGATAGTCGAATGCGGTTTCTGAAGTTAAAGTATACATATCGTTTAGTGGTATTTACTCAGGGGAGGTATAGAAGAGGCTACGATGACAGCTGTGGGCTTCTTATTAGCTGAGGGAACGCCATTACCGTAACAAAACGTTCGCAGCCATCGGCTTCGGTGGTCTAGTGATTAGCGTGCCGGGCTGATATACTGTAGGTCCCGGGTTCGAATCCCGCTGGTAGCACTAACTTTTTGTCCAAGATTTTTTTATTATCAGCAAGTTTGGTTGGTTTGGTTCGGTTATTACAGTTTAATTTTATTATTAAGTCATTATAAAATTTTAATTGAGCAAATTCTAGTTTTATTTAATAAAGAGAATTATTTTTCCGATTACTAAACTTTTGTTATATTATTTCTTTATCAGCAAGTTTGGTTAGTTCGGTTAGGTTATGATAGTTTAATTTTATAATTACAAAATAATAAAATTGAATTTGAGACATTTATAATTTTATTTTATTAACAGAACTATTTTTGCTATTAGTAAACCTTCATTGCCAAAGTTCTCTCTACTACAGCGCTGTTCACGGAGGAATTTTGAACTAAATGCCTCATTCGTACCTCCCCTAAGTCAGACCCTCGTTTAATGTACCTATGAGGTAATTGATCTAAATACTGTATGTGCTTGGTCATGAAAAATAAATAGTTTCCATGGTAATCATGAAAATAAATAAATTGGAATAAGAATTAACACTAAACTTTTATGGCCAATGGGGTGGAGCCCCAGGACATCGGATTTTCGAAACATGATTAGTCATTTTTGTGTTGTCCAAATTACTACCTACTCTTATGAAAAGTTTCAGCCCAAATGGTTCTCGAGTTTTGCGTTCTTACTGAAAATATATCATTGCCACACAATCTCGTTTGTGATATATATAGTATAAGTATTATACTACTAGCAGAGTACCCGTCCTTCGTGGGGGTTGGCAAATAAGTACATAAAATGCTTATTGCAGTTATACTCAATCTTTGCGTTTGAAATGTGAGAAGACACGGTTTGAGAAAATTTCCTCCCTCAAATTTACGGTATGCAATAGTATTTATTACACATCTACCATAGTCACAATGCTCTACCACTTCACCTACACAATAGAGAAAAATAATTATTAAGTATTCGCAAAATATCACAAATTATTCATGAAATTAAAAACAATCCTACTTTTACAGTTCTCATTTGTATCACAGGTTTTTTTTGCTGCTTAGTTCAAATTAGCTTTTTTCATAAAATGCACTGAAATTGAATTAAAAACATCACTACTGAACATGAAAGTAAACTAGAAACATGTAGAAATATTAACAACAACAATAAGAACTCTCAGCTGGTACAAAACAATCATTGTTGCCAACTTAAAATCCATAACTCAACATTTCTCTGAATAACAATAAACTATTAAAATTTACTGACTACATTATTTTCTTTAAGAATGTAAGGACTTGTAACTTATTATATACCAAAAGTTGCGCAATTTGGTTCTTTAAAATTTACTCATTTAATTATTTAAGCTACCTGTAATAGTTTAGGACTTATTGGCTAAAACATAAATATTTACGGTAGCCATTTTGAAAAACCTTTCATACAAGGCCAACGCACCTCCGTAGAGTGGTAGACTTTTCACCATCGTTTTTTTCAGCCATTTTTACATAAGAATCCATTGATAGAAATTATATTACAATTACTTCTAGGTACAGGTAAATTTTAAGCTATTTTTACTAGTCTATAGTTGGGCAGTTAGAAGAATCTTCCAACTGGCGTTCCATTAAAAGTCTATTCGTCATCAATTATCAACAGATAAACAAGTTGTCAAACAGTAGGTTGACCTATACAGAGCAAATCTTGCCAGAGAAATCAAAATATGTGACTTGGGTGACATTGCATGGCGAAGTAGTGGAGGGTGGGGATTTGGCACATTCAACTCAAGAGTTTGCCTCAAAAGGGGTTTCTCTAAAAAACTCAATGCAAATCAGACAAAAAATATAGGTGTAAGCCTGCAAATATAGAAAACGTGTGAACAATTTTTTTTGCTTTTTTTTAAGCGTTGCTGTTGAGAGCATCTTCAGCCGTTTTTGGTCTAAAAATCCATAGTTTAGGAAGCAAGGCTAAGTAAGAGTTAAGATTTTTTGCTACAAAATGTTCAAAAACTTTTCAGTTTTACTATCAAATTTAAAATAGCAACTATTCTTTCCAGTAAAAATAAAGTTACTTATAAGTATAAACTATATAAGCTCTATTTTTTCTGTTTTCAAAGGTTCAAGGTTTGAATGATGCCTCATAGCATCTTTCTTACTTACTTACTTGATACTTGATGTCTTTGTTTCTGACCCTGCTTGTGGAATTGACTGCGTCAGATGCCTTTCGGCTATTTCTTTCCTGTGAATAGTAGGATTTCTTATGCATCATTCAGGGAGTATACTGGCCATTCTAAAAGTTCCTGTCTGATGTGGTTCTTGAAATTTGAAGTTGGGAGGCTTTTCACGTCAGCTGTGAGAGGCTGTTGAAAAGTTTTATGGCTGCAATTGGAAAAGATTTTTGTGTTTTACTCAGCCTGCATCTTTGGACTTCCAGAATCCAGATTTTGTGCTTTACGAGTTTGATGTTGGTGTATGGTAGTTCTGTTGTTAAAAAGATTGATATTCTGTTTGATGTATTTTAGAGAGTTGAAAATATACTGGTGAAGACTGGTGAAAATATACTGGTAAACTGTGAAGATTCTGAATTTTTTTTAAAGAGGTTTACAGTGTTCAAGGTCATGATTCGAAACCATAACTGTTAGCGTATTTTTCTGCAGAATAAGAGCATCACTGCAGGCAGCTGAGTGTCCCCACAACAGAAGACCATAGTTCAAATGACTGTGGAACAAGGCATGATAAATTCCCAAAAGGTGATCCACAGTAAACGCCTTTGTTAATTTCCTCAGAAGACAAATTACTCTTGATAATTTTGCACAGACCTTGGCAACATGAAAGTTCCAATCAAGCCTGTTATCCAACCAGAAGCCTAGAAGTTTGACTGGTTTATTGTTCCCCTCTGGAATTTCTCTTTTAAGAGATGATAAAATTTGTTGAGTCTTTATCTTCATTCAGTTTTAACTTATTGCTCTGGAACCAGTTTTTAGCAGAGGTGAAGGTTTCATTGGCATCTGACATCTGACGTCTGACGTCATTGGTGTCTTCAGCACTTAATCCTCTGTTTACCAAGGTTGAGTCATCGGAAAAAGAAGTCTTTCCATTCAGATCCAGGTCATTTATGTGTATAATGAAGAGCAGAGGGCCAAGAATACTTCCCTGTGGGACGCCATGGTCCACAGGCCTACATTGAGAGACAGCTCCATCTAAGGAAACTATCTGTTTACGGTTGTCTAAGTAATCAGTAAGCATATGGAGTGCAACACTACTAACTCCATATAGGCCGACAGCTTCTTGAGCACGATCTTGTGGCTGACACAGACAAATGCCTTACTGAGGTCACACATAGTTAAGGCAAGAATCCCTCC